GACTTACCTCCACGTGGTGCACCCTCGGCAACGTATACTCGTACGGCAAAACAGTCTATTAACGGACTTCTGACTTTAAACTACCATCACCCCACTGTATGTCAAACTCGACTACTTCAACAGTACTCACCTCACCTTTTTTCTATCTTTGTGTCTGTCTCTTTTACATCTTTGAAGCACTCTTCTGTCCCCCCTCTCGACTTTTTTCCCTTAGATGTTCCTTCCCATCTGTGAAGCTTGATGTCAACTAAAGAGCTAATGATAACTATCAAAACGCCTGCCATTTGATATAAATAAACATCACTTTCCATATTTCAAATGGTGTCGAGGTTGCCTAGCTTAGGTTTTTAATTGGCTGAACGAGGCAGAAGTTGCGACTGAGACTAAATTCCATGATTGTTCTTTAAGGCTCCTCAATGACGCGAAAGTGTTGACACATTTATACTAGTTTCACCTCACAAAAACAAAAAGTTACCCTGAAATAATTATCTCAATTTTATGACACACAGAATCACGCTTATTTGTCAAATAATTATTATCGCTTAACTTACTTAAAATTATATACGTGAACATCACCACTAAAGTTGTTAAATACGAATCTACATAGTGACAGAAAATATATAATATATTCGAATTTTAAAATAGCTGAAATAAAATTGTGAGTGAAATTTAGAAATCAAGCAAAAGAACTCCCCTGATTCTTGAATGTTAGTTTCGATTCCTACACCACCTTCTACAGTTTGGTGCATACTGGAAATAAGATGATTTCCCGCATTAACATGACTAAGTGACTTAGTGCAATATAAATAATAATAATTAGTTGAATCTCAAATAAAACTTAGGCATAAACATTGAGTTTCATGGAATGATAGATTCGATTAGGCATGCTTTAAGTTGCAATAACTTAGAAAAAGCCAATAAAATGTTAGCTTTATTGCCTTCATTTAAATCCTCATGCCAAAATATACCCTTAATGATTGAAGACATAAGGGGGGGGGGAAGATTGGCTAAAATTTGATTACATTTCAGTAACTTCAAATGAAATAAAATTGTGGATTTTTTTCTCACACATTTCCGTGATCACCCTTATGATAGGGGAATTGTGTGTCTGTGTGTTTTCGAGGTCTATATTTAATTTTCATATGAGATCTTATCTGGCCTATGACAAATCATTCATATGGTTTCCTTAAGGATACATTGTAAAGTATTCATTGAAAAAACAGTTTTGAAGTGAAAATTTACCTTATAGTCGAAAGAACTTCCAACTCATACCTTCATTTTAGTAGCAAAGTGAAAAAATTTGCCAATTATGCTTAGAGAAAAATTAAGGATAAAAATAAAATAATCCAATATTGAAAACACTGTTACGGGAATTTATGACAATTTTAGCAATTTTCAACCTCATGCATTGAAGATGAAAGTTATTTAATTTTTTATATTTATTCTTGCTAAAGCGTTTGTCGTTTAATGAACAGAGACAGCCCCTGCGGTATTAAAGCCTTATTGCCATCATTTAAATATTATCAAGGCGGTTTAAAGCATGTAATTCAGAAATTTTTTCTTATTTACTACAGTCTTTAAATTCCTTTGAAGGCAAACGCCAGGAAAAGAAATTTAATGTGTGGGACACTTCATCGCAGGCGCGCACACTAGGCTTAAGGAGGTATTCTGGTCTAGAGACATGAATTTTAGGTCATTTTTGAAGTGCTGTAATAAAAAGCAAGCAATATTTTTATTACCAACTTTTTGCACATTATTTTTTCACCTTAGAGGCATACAAAAAAATAAAAATTCCGTTAGTTATCAGTTGATGGAATGGGGCGTCCCAAAAATATGGTGCGTGACCATACCCACGATTTTAACTCTCCAAGCAAATCTGGAATCAAAAAATAAAAAAAGATCATCAATCTACAATAATGCCGCTATATCCGGGACTACGGAAAAGTTTTAAATATATTTTTTTACAAAATGGCGACTGTCTAAAGAAAAAAGCCATTTTTGTACCACTTTTTTAAACATTCTTCGATTTTTTAAAAATAGTAAACATTAAAATCTGGGAATGGCCATAGTTCCGGACATAGACAAGTCCCTAAAAAAGACTCTCTTAAAATTTCAAGTAAATCGGTTAGGCAGAATCTGAGAAATCGTGGGTGTCAGATTCAAAAAAACTGTTTTAAGAAAAACGCGTTTAAAGTTTCAAGTAAATTTTTTGCAGTCTAAGTCATAAAATAATATTTTTAACTTACATTTATTCAACCTGCTGTTCCTGCTGCATACATCGGGCCTTCCTTGACTTCGAAAAAAACTATTGCCGGCGTCTCTGTTTTCTATTCGAGCAGTTCTGGCCTCCTTTGATGCGCTGGATGCTCGTATCGAGCAGTTCTGGCCTCCTTTGATGCGCTGGATGCTCGTATCTTGGAGCGGTCAATCCGGGCGTTGTCTCGTCTGATAGCAAATGCATGCGCTTCTGGACCAATTCTCACTCCCATAATCGTCATTATCTTCAATATCGGTATAAATCCTTCATTAAAAATATGGACAAAAGTACACATAGCAATAAATGTTGCAATTTCAATGATCTGAGACCCGGAATGGATATGCTTTGGAGCGAAAGTCCATATCAGCGAGTTTAGAGACTCATTATTCTTTTGTGTTTCTGAACCCAAACATCAAATCAATTACTCTTCTGATGACAAATTTCGAAGGATTTGTGAACGAATGGACATGATGGAATGTAGCGTAGACCATTGCAACTGCATTGTAATGCAATTTTGAACCCGAGTCGGCGTTGAGCCGTTCTTGAAAATATAATCTCGTTGTTGCATGTAGTATACGAAATAAAGACCGTGAAAAACTCCAAAACACAGTAGCCGTAATTATTATCTATAATTACTTCTTCATCATTTGATTTCCTCAATTTTGCTGCTGATGCCCTCGTAAAACTGATAGATAGATCGATATAACGGAACAAAAGGGCTTACGAAGAAATACAGATTCAGGTAATCGGAGAACCCATTAGTTAGTTGCAGCTCAACCGATTTGGTTGCCTGCTCAGCAAAATACTTATATCTCAGAAACAAATTTGAATTTTGGAAAATTCTCTCGTAGACATATCCTTGAATAGTTAAACTATGAAAATATGCAGAAAAATACAACCTCGCACACGTATTGGTCGCGGAGAAGCGCAGCCAATGATCAATAGAAAGCCTGCGTTTGTTTTTTGAATTCGACCATTTTGCATTAGTAGCTTTCTATTTGAGCACAATTCGCTATCCTAATCTAGTGAATAAACGTTTCAGTGATTCGTCTCTTTCTCCTAAAGACTCGGTAATTAGAAGAAACTATCACAAAGGTTTCTGAGACTTAAGTCAAGACTTTAATAAAGTAGCAATCCGCTACAAATGCCAAATTAAAAAGCTCCCTGCTTCAAACTTTAGTTTTAATTTCTGAGCTTTTTTGAGACCAAATTATTGTGTGTTAACGTTAACCTAATATTTTCTCAATTTCAGTCTTGAAGTCCATTTGAAATGAACAGCGTTATATGGTATGCATCTGGATTTGTGCATTAGAGAGTAATAGAGAATTTTCGCTTTCAATCAGTCAATATTTTAAATGGGTACTTTTCCCAAAGACATTTTAAGTCCTTTATTAAAACTAGCTATTTTAGCTAACAAGTATAACAAAATTGGCTTGAAAATCAGTGGTCAACACCTTCACATTAAAAGCAAGAAGACATACGAGCTTAGCATTCACTCTTTTGTACTTTTCTTAATAAACACCAATTATAAGAATTCACTTCCAGTTTCTTAAAAAGATATAGAGTATCTCTCCTGTGACATTTACAGCTTCTTTTCAAACCGAGATGGACATTTTTGCTAAATTGCAATGAGGAACGTTTATGAATACATTCAACAACAGAAATACTTTTGAGTTTTACTTATGTATAATTATTTATTTATTTATACCAAATGGCAGGCGTCTTGATGGTTATCATTAGCCCTTTAGTTGACTTCAGGCTTCACAGAGAGGAAGAAACATCAAATTGAAAAAGTCGTTAGGGGGAGGGAACAGAAGTGTTTCAAAGATATAAGAGACAAACACAAAGGTATAACAAAGGTGAGGTAAGAACCGTGAAAATATTCGAATATGGCATAGAGTGAGGTGATGGTAGTTTGAAGTGACAAGTCAACTGCCAGTCAATTGACTTTTTTGCCGTATGAATATACGTTGCTCAGAGTGCACCACGTGGAGGTAAGTCTATCGCACACCCCATGTATAATTATTTAAAATTCTATAGTTATAATTAAATTTATATTTGAAATTATTATTCCAAGTTATCAATTACGTTAGTTTCAAATTTGATGCTCAATCGAAAATTGGCCCCTCGGTTTTGAGTTACATTGGTGGCAATTTTAAATGAAGAATAAAAAATAGCATTTGAGAGAAGAAAATCAATGAAAAGTGAAATACAAAGTGAATATTTATTTAAAATTATGTACAAACAGGATTGATAAATCGTCATCAATTTGCTACACAATTTCAAGTTCTCCCTAAAAAGAAGAAAATTATATTAAATAAGACATATCGACCTTTCTAATTGTAACATTAGACTCACTGCACAATAAAGTGAAGTTGATTAACAGAGTTTTTGCTAATAGTGTAAGGCAAAGTTTAGTAAATCTGAACTGAAAAATGATAAGTTTGTATTATCAGAACATACATTTAGAAATAAAATTTTGGGAAAAAATGATCAAATAAACTAAATGAAAGAGAAATGAAAAGTTAAGTGGTTTAAGCATAAAGAAATAATGCCATGAGTAAACAATTGATGAGAATAAAAAAGTAAACTATTCAACAAATACTTATAAAGAAGTTTATGTCTATTTATCAATAGGTGGCTAGTTGGTTATTAAAACCAATTAACAGGTAAATGTTAATTATGCAAACGCAGAAGTATAATTTACAGAACGAAGAACTACCTTTATGAACTGAACTGATGTGTTTTCTGAGATGATCTGATCGTGAGAAAGACTTTTCGCAATGTGAACAAGAATATGGTCTCAGACCTAGAACAGTTAAAACAAACAATAAGTGAAATGTAGTTTTGAGGTGGTGAGTTGAAGATTGAAACCAAATGAGATATGAAAGTAAGTAAAGCAAAGCACAGACCTATAATTTAGAGAATGAACAACTACCTTTATGAACTGAACTGATGTGTCTTCTGAGACTTCCTGATAGTGAGAAAGACTTTTCGCAATGTGAACAGGAATATGATCTCAGACCTAGAACAGTTAAAACAAACAATAAGTGAAATTTTGCGCTTCAAAATGTCCATTTCACTTTGCCTCGAATCGTTAAGCAATATGGTTGAACTGGTGTCCTGCAAAGGCTGACTACGCAGTAAACCGGGTAATATTGTCGTGTTAGGAATTGGTAGACAAATCTGTAAGAAAATTAAATGAAGCGTGAAACCGCAGTTTTCCATACTTTTCCGTCGCGCAAAAACCACATCTATTTTGAATTAACTCATAAAAGTATCCATTTTTCTATTGGAACGTCTCAAATTGACATTTTAAATAATGATTTACGTTATCTATCTTCCTCATTAGGCTATTTGATAATTGGGTTCAAATTTGTAAAATGTTTTTTGACCTCACCGGAGTCCTTTTTGAAACAGTTTTGTGGGACACTACATCAATGACCAATAGAAATCCTGCTTACTCAGAGATATTTACCTATTAATGTTCACAGGAATTATGCTAGATTTATCTGATAACTAATCGCTTTGCCAAAATTACACTTCGCTATCAATATGCGTACTGAATAAACGTACTCCGTGCTACAGGTCGGTTTCCCTTATAGCTGGGCTATAGCTTAGCTTGTTCTGGGAGTCTAGCTAGATGTTGGAGAATCTGCCATAGAGATTTCTGAGTCGGCCAGGCTTTACTAGCGTAGCAATCCGCTACAGTTTATTTTCCATAAGTTATAAAGTATTTGTGAAATTCAAGAATCATTTCACGGATCAGTATGTGGGTCTTAATGAACAAAATTAAATTTTTTTACATTTTTAGTTGTCGAAAATGTAGGATAGTTAAAGCGAGTAATTAGTGAAATGCTTTATGTCAGCATTTGCCTTTTTGTTCTTAATCCTTTATTTACGAATCCAAACGTTGAAATCATCACCTAAGAGTTGATTTAATAATTTCAAAGCAAATAATTCTTACTAATAAGACCACATTATGATGTTTCGCTTTCATTCAGTTTAATGTATAGATATTTCAATTATTTTCATTAAATATTTATATACAAGGGCAGATTATCATGGATAACTTGAAAATACTTTTGCACAAATTGGAATTATTGCACGAACTAAGTAAAAATAAATATCAATGACAGTATTCATACAAATATATCAATATAACTCAATGTTGACCATTTATTTTATATACTTAACTAATATTCTTTAGTGATCAGTTCAAAATCTTTATTTTATTGCATTCATACCTGTGTGTGTGAGCATATGTTGATTTAGGCTCTGCTTATATTTAAACCTTTCTTCGCATTCATCGCATTTGAAAGCAGCAAAAGTGGAATGAGTTTTCAGATGCTGCATTAACGTTGACCTATTGCGAAATTCCTTATCACAATCGCCACATTTTAAATTCAAGGAAGATGAATCTAAATGGGAAGAAGCGAAAGTAACAAAATGAAAGTACAAAACATTACTTTTAAAATAATCTTTACCTTGGTCGTTTTTCTCAATATGAGCAGTAGATCGGCTTATAATGCCAAGTTCTTTGGCAAACTATTAAAAGAAAAGCGAGTATGTTGAAATAAATATTCCTCACCTTGTCACCATAATAGGTTAGAAGTTCATAACCAGGTTTAATAGTCTAAATCAAGTTTTAAACTTTATAATAATAATATACTTGGCAAGCACGATAGTATATTTTCCCTCTGTATTGTATTGTTACCAAGTTCTGTTCCTCATCATGACGTGCGCAATTCACATACTAAATATTATCTTTAAGTATATGCGAGCCTACACGTAACCAATTTGAAAGTATTGGATGAAAAGCATCCACAAGATGACTTTTAGTTCCTAGATGATTTCCCCTGACCAACCAGGCATAGCCAAGGCGCGATCTCTACAATGAAAAGAAAAAGATTATAGATGGTGATAAAAACTAGCAATCATTCCCGCACACTGACTTGTACCTTCTTTAATTCTTGGTCGGGTATATTTTCAAGAGGCACAATTTCTCCAGTGTATGGGCCTAAGACTGCACCCATAGGAATTTCTTTTTCTGCCCAAACACCCAATCCAGCACCTCGGATGCTTGATTGGCCAACGCGCAAAAAACATTCTGGGGCTGTTCTTCGAGAGTGATTTCGTTCATCTTTACCACAGCAACAATCGTCGGGTTTGCCTGTTTTCACCGCATCACATAATAATGGCTTTACTGATTTTATCCACAGAATTGGGTGAGTAGGACAAGGATCGATGTACATATTTTTGCACTCATAGCAAACTGAAATTAGTTTGGAGAATTTGATCATTTAAAATATGCAGAAAGAATGTCTTTATACTAATACAGTCTTGATTCGGATAGTTAAGTAAATATAAGAAATGAAAGTTCATAGTCTATTTCAACAATTACAGAATTGTGAAAAATAAGTTATCAAAGATGTAGTAATAATGAATTTTCATTTTGGCAGAAAACATTAGGAGGGAAGTAGCGGTTAGCGGGCTTATCGAAGGTAGAAAGAGTAGCAGACCGCTTATATGACTAAATGTTCGTTAAATGCATTATAACTCATTGTCATCAAAATAGCCTAGAAAAGCTAGAGGTCAATATAAACATAAGATCAGACAAATTTGAGCAAATTACTTAAAACTATGAAAGAGAGACGACCCAAAATTTTAGTACGTTCTGAAAATCTAATTTGTATGTAGCTTCAAAATAAATACTAGTGTCATTTCTCATGAATAAAATGAAAAACTTTTATTCCACAACATCCGGAGGATGTCGTTATTCACTGTTTCTAATACGAATTCACGTCTTGCCGTATTTCACTTGCGTTTTTAAATTGTACGCTGTAAATAATACTTCCTTTATGTACATATTTTTAAAAGTATTAAATAAAGATTTTGTCTTCTATTAGACTGCAATTAAAAACTGCATTTAATGGTCCGAGTTAATTCGCATTATGAAAATTGGACATTATAGAAAGTGCTATCAGAAGCAAAGTCTTACCAACATGGATATAACGACACACATTAAAACCCATGAGAAAACTCAAACTGTTGCCCAACATTACTAATGATCAAACGTCAGGACTTTATTCCTACCTTTAAAGCTAAATACCAACTCTTTGAACAAACAGAGGTATTCTTATCTTAGGTCTGACCCAAACGTTCTTACACCAATTCGGTTCTCCCTCCAATTCCTACTGGAAAAATTCATAGTCAGAGTAACCAGCAACTCTAGACCCCCTCATCTCAAAGGTAAGGTGCATAAACCGTTAGCGTGCTACTGATTTATAAATAGTAGAAAATAAATCCAGTGCTTACAAAGAAAGCGGTCATCTTGGGGATCTGCAGGGGGCTCTTTGTAATTTTTCCGAGTGATATTTCTCGTTTGATAGTTTTTCACTAAAAAGGAATACTGCAATTCTTAACTCCAAGATTACCTTCCTGCAGCTCCATCAAACCTCCAGTACTTTCAGGCTTTGAAAATTGAGGTTTATTTATTTTTAGAGTTGTTTCTTTCACTGTTTCTGTAACTACTTTATGCGGTTCCTCCGAAGCAATTTTTTTCACATTTTTTTTCAATTTTGATCGTCGCTTTGATCGGTTGGATTCTAAGGGTGGTGGAGAAGTGCCTGGGCACCACTCATCATCACTACTAGCAAAATCACTGTCATCACTATCGCTAAGAGGCCTTGAAAAGAGTGGTCGTGAGCGAGACTATACAATAAGGACCTTAGTGTAACATACCCACGCCTTCTGACGCCGTTTTTCCTCAAGACGCTTTTCTTCAGCCATCAAAAAACTGTCCAAGGCTCGCTGCTCATTTTTTAGAGTGGTCTTCTATAAATAAAAGGACAGGAATAATTTTCAAGGAAAGGCGAACATACAAATATAATCGAAAAATGACAGCTGTAATGAAACTTGTCTATTTTTAAGCTTTGACTGTGCATTTTTAGTGCGTTGATATTAAAAGGTAAGCAAAGAAATCCGAGGGACAATCTATATGCAATTAGCTAATTATTGATGGAAATTAGCTTTAATGTAGCATAATAACTTCTAAAATCTCTTAATAAGATAGGTTAGATAAATTAATTCTACAACAGTCTGATCAAAAATCAAAATTACTATTGAGGTAAAAACAATCGTCTTCTGGTATTATCGTGATATTATTATTCTTGCAAAAGCAAAATTACTTCTTAGGCATTCTGATTATTCCGTTCTATAAGTAAAGGCGCCAACTGTGCATAATATTCTGATTCATAGTAAGGCAGAACTAAGGTTGATTATAAAATGCCATGATATTTGTAATATTTTTCAAATTATTACCAATTATTTTCCATATGGTGGAAATTACTGCCCAAATAATCGTAATGAACACTTTAAAAACGGACTATTTTGAGGAATAGAAGTGGCACTACATAAATACAAAGACGATAACTGCAATGATTAAAAAGGCGAAATATTCAACAGACTGTTACATAAATAAGCTTGGACTTAACTTCAGTAATCTCTTTGTCAAAATCCCTTGTAAGAAAAGGATTCCGGGTATTAGCTAAGCTGTCTCAACGAAAATGAGGAAACGGAAAGCATAAGTACATTTATTAGGGTAGTATTTATTCTGCAGTACGTCTCTCTTATATGAGAAATTGGTACTGAAATTAATCATTAAATACTGCTTTGGCTACGCCGACCATTTGAACGCTATTGATTGGTCGAGATGTCACTGCTCTCGTGACCTCATTGACCTACTAACTCGATCAGCATCGCAGACGTCCATTCCAGATTAGTCAAAGGCACATGAGATTGATTAATTCAATTGTGCTAGGATTGTGTACTCACCAATTAAGACTTCGTTCACACTACTTTCATCCTTAATGAACAGCTAAATATAACTGTGCTTTATTCTCAAAAATGGGGATAATCAACAACAATATTGAAATTTTCGATACTTTTTCTTAATTTAAACAAGTAAATTGTGTGAAATTGTACTGGCTATAAGCCTTTGAAATACACTACAATAACTACATACTAATTTAAACAATAGAATGTAGAAGGTTTTCAGTTGATGAAGCTCATTAGCTTGCAGATACAACAGCTTTTATAATAAATTTTTAACCTTTGCAGTTAAAATTTTGAAGAAAACTATTATCCAGCTAATTTCAAAATATGTCAGTGAAATACTAAAACATATATGAATAAACTATTGCATGTTAATAATTTTGCTAATATCATAAAACTGATATGCAAACACAGCCACACTTAATGTTTTATCACAGTCTGAACAACTGCAATGGGTCTTCAGAAGTCACTCCAATAAAAACTAGAAAAAATTAAACTTTGATGGAATTATATTCCCCATTATACTCTTTGTAACAGTGCCAGTTTTATAAAAAGACAACTTAAAGCTGGCAACAAATACATCTTTGAAAGTGGGACTAAAATTTCTTCATTGATCTCCATTAGAAACAATTTCAATCTTGTAGGTCCATAAAGCGTTAACAGAGGATTTAACCTTTACTACTAGTTGTCCCCTTATTAATAAATCAAGAAAGAAAAGTATGATTGAAATCTATTTTGCAAGATAAGAAGCCAACAAGCCTACTAAATTTTAACAATGATAAAGGCCTTACAGAAAATCATTTTGTTTCTGATCATTGTATTTGGAAAATAGCAATTATAAGAAAAATTATTAGCTTCAAATATTGAAAAATAATAAAAAATGATAATGTAATTTCTCGATCCCCACAAATAGGTACTATAGAGAATTTCCAACACAAATGATAAACATTAACAATATCGCCATCATGTTTTGCATATTTCAGCTGAAAATAAACGAAAATGTAGGTGATTATGAATCGTTTGGAAACTGAATAACAAAAGTCGCATAACAACCAATCTTACTATAATAGTCCATGACAAACTTAATAAACAAATACATTCGTGGCTTTGAAATGAAAGTAGGCATTGTGCTAAAACCATTAATCTTAATGGCACGTTGCCTTTCAATATCAAATAGATTTCGCTTACACTTCAAATGGATAAACTTTAATCTTCTTCATTGAAGATTTTGAAAGTAATATTGGGGATGGCTTAAACTATATGTAAACCAATGTACTAAACAAACGAACATTTTAAATTTACTCTTCTTTCCCAAATCGCAGCGTTGGTTAGGCAAGTCTTTGTTATCAATGACTTTTGCTAATAACTTGCATAATAAACTAACATTTAGTTATAGACTTTTCAATTAAACATTTTGATCATCCTAATAAATTTTTAAAAGTATAGTCAACCTTTAGAAGACATAAAATGACACATCTACCGGACACAACACTAATATAAGGAATATTAGTTAGCAATTTTAATACGAAATAAAAAAATAGTAATTTCCACCATTAAATATTTATGTAGGCGAATTGCGCAGGTCATAAAGAAAATAAAATCATATTGATGAAAATAATTAAAAATTTGCGTTAAGAAATGAAAACTATTGCACGAATGCGTATGCAAGAAAGATTCCATATACTTAGGATTTGTAAGTGTAACAAATTTTGCTAAAAATATAGCTTATTTAATACCTATGCAATTAACTCATTGATGAGTAAGATTACACATTTCTTCCATAATGCATTAAGTTTTCTTTAAAATAATCAAAATTAGTATAAATTAAGAACCGAAAACAGTAAAATTCAAAAGATCAATTTACTTTAAGTGTCGTGCTTGGTGTAAAAGTATGGTAAACAGGATTATCTTACGTTTTTAATGTTATACTTTTTGCGCATTTCCTTCTCTTGAGCCTCTGTGAGAGCTATAAATGTTTAAAACATAAGTTTATAAATGGTTTTTTACCTCCCATCTCTCTCAATCTCTCCAAATTTCGTAAAACAGCCTGTTTCCGCTGTTCAGCAAGAGACATCACTGTAAATTAATAGAAATGTGTTCTCGCGCTAGGTAATTTAAACATACATAAATGAAATTGAATTGAATTTCTCTTACAGTGTTATACAAGTATAACCTTATTTACATTCAATAAGGAAATTTTTAAAAGACAAGATTCAAAATTTAAGTGAAAAAGCCATTTATGAAGAGATAAGACTCTATATGAAATATATAAATTTAATATATATCATATATAAATATATATATATCATAGTCAATTTATCTGTCAATTCCAGTTTTGCAAATTTGCCATATTTCTAAATTTACTGATAAATTAATCTGATTGCAAATATAAAATAAGTTGATCTAAGGCAATTAAGAGTCAATATATGATATTTAATATTCTGAACTGTGAATAATAAATACTGAAAATATTGCTACAAAATATTTGAAAAATATCAAAAAAATGTGTTAAACGGGTAAATTCTTTCCCATACCAGTATAAAACTGCTAATTCAGTAAACTGTTGGCACTATCTAATGCTCGAAAACATTATTAAACCATTCTATATTAGGGCCGAATTAGTTCCAGCTAGAACAGGGGTGTAATGGAGATTTCAGTAATTAATTTGTTTAGGAAAACTCCTGGAAAATGCAGCATATTCTTTCAGTTTTCGAATTCGGTTATATGAATAATCATTGCAGATTATGTCCCAATAAATTACTTTTGACTGGGAACTACATAAAGGCAATCGGTCAAGTCAATCACATCTCATATCAGATCAGAGGTGGCTGAGAAGCTACCCAGTTTATTGGTGAAAAAACTGTGGTTTATATAAAAGGGGTTTTGCATTGGAGGTTGTTCATATGGTTCTCACAGTTAAAAAATTCCGGAAAGTGCAAGGGTATTACCGTTTATGCACCTAATAATTACTGATGCGCATGCAGTTGCTTCACAGTCAACCAATTTTTGCATACATATTCACCAACCATGAATAGTAAATTCTTTTCTACTCAAGACTCTTGTTTTGCAAACTCATTTGGAAGTAGTTTATCTCATGTTAAGTACAACTTAGACTCTTTTAAAGACTAGTTATGCGTCACCACAACTACTCGGATTCCTGAGAGGGCTAGTAAGGCTTAATCGTGAGCTTATTTATGATAGCATCTTCCACAACATATTCCCATTTCTCCAATCTGCAGGTGTTGTTTGAAATTCCATAGCACCAATAATAATGTAGTGCCTTTAATAATGCTTAAACTAATTTGTTTTCGAACAGTGTTGAATAAAAGAGAGAAAATGGAAAAAACATGTATCGTCAAAAGAAACACTATTCAAAGTGCGCAAATATTTGCCTTCTTGATGATAAGCCAGCATCAGTCTGACCTATTGACTTATTCTACTTAGAAGGTTGCTTCTATATTGCCTGACTTGCTAAACAAGCTTGTTGATAGCTTCACAAAGAATTGCCTCAGTGTGCTTGTAAAATATATTACAATTGTAAGTCCAGTTTAGAGATTACCTTAATAGACAATTATAACTTTCTGTAAGTTAATCAGTAAATAATGATGCATGGAAATTTGGCTTTATTATATGAACTAAATATGGTATATAATCATGATTTGATAGGTATACGAATTAATTAGCCAAATTTTCGTCAGTGACCTACTGAGGAAACTTAAACCAATTTTTCCGGTCTGTCACATTGACTCCCTAATTGCACTCTGAAACCAAGAGTGAAAAGAACCCAAATAGGTTTGCGACGCTATGTAAAGATGGCTGTGTTTGGTTGTGTCCGTTTTACATACTTTTAACAAATTCAATTGAAAGGAGTTCCTAGGACGCACTCTATGTTCTAAACACAAGATAAAATACCGAATTCTCATAAATTCAAGAGACCGCCACAAATAAGATGAGTAACACTGAATTAACCTTACCTCAATTACTTATTAAAGCTAAGACACTCGAGTAAATTATTTTTTAACAGTATTTCCGAAAGGCATAATTATGATCGAGATTTGTCCAGTTTTGTGAGGCAATAACTTTGGAGCTTTAATCTAGACCGTTAATTCTTTTGAAATCCAAACCTGACCGAACTCAGTGAATTTGCATAAGTGTTTTGAAACATTTTATCAACATTGTGCTGCATAAGAAGTGAACCAATTTCTTTACGTTCTTATGTCCACTTTGCAATATGAGGGGAATATGGTTGGCATGGATGAAGTAAAGAAGCCCTTGTGGGCATGAACATTGTGCAAAGTGTGATAATACTAATCACACAATCTGAAATCAATAGTCATGGCTTAGTCAATGCAGACGAAATTGTATATAAAGACTAAGCTCCCTGTCTGTAAAAAACAGCCAAACTAAATGTAATCCATGTCATACATCTGCTTCCTCTAGAGTATAGTGATATCGGAAGCCGTTCCAAAAGGGGAGATTTTCCTATAGACGTGACCGAGCGTAAGTCAAAGCTTATTAGTGTAAAAATCCCCTACAAATACAAAAGTCAGTGTTTCTTTTCCATAATTGCAAAATTCAATGTTTGTATCAATATACAGACTACCTTACACGAAACCAGTAAAGTCTAGTGGGACGATGAGTAACTAACGAAAAATCATTCATCAAATACTCTACATAACATATTTTCAGTAGATTCTTGACCAATTCTGTGGCATTATTTTGAAAGCACAACAGATCACTGGGCATTACATCAAAATTTAGCCAACAATGTTTCGTATATTGTCAAATCATTTATTTCGAATGGCAGGCATTTTGATAGTTGTTATTAGCCCTTAGCTGACTTCGAACTTCACAGAGGGGAGAAACATCAAAGTTAGAAAAATTCAAGAGGGTGGACCCGAAGAGTGATTTGCAGATGTAAAAGAGGCAGACAAAATGGTAGGGAGTAGGGTTGTCAAATCATAAAAATCAACTGTACAGCCTCTTCATACCCCATTATAAATCTCTTACTGTTTTAAATTTTGTAAACATGCTACCAATTGGTTTTATTCTGCGTCTAACCTTTATGGTGGATTTGTTAAATCAAAATTTACCAGTTTCATTTCGAGTTTTGCGAAGTTCCGCTAAAATCACCATCTGTCATTAAAATCGATAAATGTGCGTTGATCAATAAAATTTGCAAACTACAAAACGGACAAATAAATCATAAATAAGATGACAAACCTCAAATTTGAATGGGAACAAAAATTCGTCGTGAGCGTAAACGTATTAGTAACGGACATGGATCGGAACCTCTAATGAAGACAAAAGGACTTGGTAACAAAATACTAACAATTTGTAATTATCTAACGGGTGCTTTGGTTAGATGACCATCACTATGGCTAGTGATCATTTTAAGGTTAAATTTAACAACCTTTTAAAGTGTGAAATGTCATGTTTACATATTGTATTGGAAGAGAAGTAGAGTTAAAGATAGAATTGGAGAGAAGGGGAAGTTGACGGTGGTTGACGAGTAAAAATCAAATTTGATAATATGGGCAGACAGTTTGGATATCTGAGCTGTTTTATCAGAGTTAATCGCGGATATAACAAGCTAGTTAAAAGATAATGTTTACCTCAATGGATTCCAAATCATGACGCCTATAGCTTACTATATAATTATAACTTTACATATTTCAAATGAGTGTAACTTAAACAGTTTTCTTTGAATAACTTCTCGATGCTCTCCAAAATCCGAGGTCATGTATTTGGTGACCATCAGCACATGATAATTTTGTAGAACGACCAATCCTGTTTGACTAACAAGGAAGGGTAAATAATTTGAGTTTCCTACTTGAGAACCTAAGATAAGTGTTCGAAAAAGGCCATTATCTTGAGTACTAATGACTGCATACCCTTAAAACATTAAACAATCAGCCAATTGGACTTATCCCCAATTTTGTTTTTTTAGAAATCATAATGAAAAAAATTAACTTCTGTCCACCAAAACTAAATGAAGTGCTACTTATGTACATTTAAGTAGTGTAGATTATAATACTTAATTTTTAACGTGGCCAACTCAAAGACGTAGTTACTAGCCATTGGCTAGTAAGATTAGTACTAACCACACCAATCAATACGCAACATGTTAAAATCTCTTAGATTTAGGAAAAATATGATGGAATGCTCATAAACTTCATAATCATAGAGGAGTGGACTCTGAAGCTCAACTGTTGTTCGGTAAACTAAACAAAGTAACAGGTAGATATTACCATAATATTTTGCATAAATTAAAATCATCACCCATTTGAAACCAAAATGATACTCCTTTTATTCATTTGTAAGAGAGGATCAATTGGAAGTCCAGAATAGGAATTTAGCCACTTCTCTGCATTTATTTTATATCATGATCCAACTCTCGGAATTTTAATTTCAAGATAAGATCAACAGGTTCCTAAATGCCAATCGATATCTGCGGTGTTAGACCTGATTGAACAGTCAATTAAACGGGGGCAGCTAAACCTTCTTAACTCCTCTAGAAAAGTATTATTCAATACCAATCTTGGGTATATCATCATAAAGTCTACCCAATGGGAAGTTCGAATTTCGCCATCTCCCTCAATTAGACTAGTTTATTCATTGGGGTTAGTCATCCCACTAACCGGTTATCAGGTCTGACTTCAAATTTTGTGGATGTGAGAGAGTTAAACATTATTACCCTAAAATGTTTTTCTCCTTGAGCTTTAATAGGTAAAATGGCAGAAAATTATGATTATTTTAAATATGCACAATCAATTTAATGATATGTAACTCGGTGCAAATGATATGTGGCAATTAAATTTCATCTCAGTTTAAAGACCAAAATGAAGATTTAAGATTTAATCAAGAGACATTAATAATAAAAAAGCACAATGCATTTACAAAATAAGATTTTCGTTTCGACAGTAATACCAGTGAGTTAATCAAAAGTCCGGAAAGTTGACGACTGAATTCGCCACAAATTTTCTTCTTTAATCAGGAAGAAAACTTCGGAGAACATCTTGGAAGGATGACCTTCGAATCGGATCACTCCCAATGTATTTACCATGACAACGT